GCTTGTGATTCGAGTGATAGCCACTTCTCTTTATATGCTTATGAAGATATGAAGAAGCATTTATCTTCAAATCAATTGGTTACATTCTGGAAAAAAAAGCCAAAACAAATCATAAAATGATGGACATTGAGAGGCATAATACAAATTTACAACCCTAAGAAAAAAAAAGATAAAAACTGAATAATATTGTGTTTGGCATGCATTGAAGTGGGGCTAGTACTAAGGTCAATGGGACTCTTGTATGTTGAAAAGACGTGAATGCCCTCCTCTGGAAATAAAGCCAAAACAAATCAGAAGGACATTCATGTATTTTACCTACATACTTGAGTTGACAATATGCATTTGTTTTTCTAATAAGTTATGTATTTTTAAAGGTAAAACAATGATAGTTTTTAGATTAATCCTCAGTAAAGAATTTATAAGTCTTTGCTTATAAATATAGGACCCTAAAATAGGTTTCTTTGCTCTTTTTCATTCTTTAGGTTATTCTTCTGTTTTCTGACCTGACATGGCGTCCACGTGGCAAAAACTGACACCTCAGAAAATATATGAAAAAATCACAACTGCAGGATTTCTTGTAATTATTTGTATTACAACAATTAAATAGTTAAATGCTTATATTTATAATCTAAAGAAATAAGTGTTCAATATAACTATAACAGTGAAAATTGTTTTTGTATTTTGATGGCATTGTTATAATTGAGTAGATTTTCAAGGTACAGTGTTATAATAGGAAGAAATGAAAGTAGGATGCTATAATAGACAGATAAATGAAAGAAGTTTGCTAATTTTTTTTTTTTTTTTTTTTTTTTTGCATCTAACCCTATTAAGTAATATGTTTAATGGAAAACTAAAACTGGGTTGTAACATAAACGAAAAGATCATGAAAAATATTAAGGAAGAAAACCCACGTTGCGTGAGAGAAATCGTTGACATACACAATTAATGAGAGTGAACTAAATGAAATAAAATAATAATATCGACTCAACTATTCTCTAGTGTTATAGGGACACCGAGTGTATTTGCCTCATAAATAACATGAATTCCTCAAGATCACAAGTAAAACTTGGTTATTTATTCTTTTGCTTGTTTAGAACTTCAAAAAAATAATAAATAAATAAACCGTATCATCAAAGTGGCCCACGTGGGATAATATTTTGGGTGTGCCAGGCACCTCATGTGTGGAATTTCACTCCTCAACCACTAGGTTCCCATAGTGGGGACCACTTTTAAAAAATAGCAGGGTTAGCGGCCGCCTAGGCGATAGGCGGTCTGCAACTGATTACGATTAGGGGTGCTTGGTGGAAATTGGTCAATATCGGTCAAACTCAGGCTAGGCGGTCCTTGGTGGTTCTTGACGGTCCTTGGCGGGAAGAATTTAAAAAATTCAAAATTTCAAATATTATACCAAAATCTTCAAAACTTCAAAATTTTAAATATTTAAATATTCAAATTTTCAAATATTATACCAAATATTTCAAAATTTAAAATTTTTAAATTTTCAAATACTATTTTTCTTAGGATATATTAAGTTTTAAAATAGTTTTATTAGTAATTTATGGTCCCCGATTAATCCCCACCAAACTGATTAATCGCTTGACCCCACCGCCGCGCTACTGCTGAGGGATTTTTCCAACCTTGAAAAATAGTAATATAAGGTAGTAGTTGGTTACATTAAGTGAGGATAAAAGTCATGTATGAGATACACAAGGGTTGAATGAATCACCTCTAGAAAGAATTAACCAAAGGCACAATCATAAAAAAGTTTTATCTTGATTTTCATGATATCATCACATGTTTTATTGGGATGAGGAAAATGAAGCTAGAATCAATGAATGGGGCAAAGAGTAAGTCTAAAAGGAGACCACTTGAAGGCAACAACTTGAGTTCCATACGAGATGAAAGTCCCTTCATTTCAAAGAATATCATATTTGGAGTCATATATCGAGTGGGAGACAAAGATGGAGTTCATCTTTGATCACCATGAATACTCCAATTTGAGTTTTCCAAGCACTAACATAGTAGGATGAACTTGTGATTACTAGGTGGAGAAATAATGAAGACTTATTGAGACTTGGATGCAATGAAGATCATGAGGGGAAGTTTTGTACCGAGTCGCTTCTTTCTTGATCTTCACAATAATTTTAGAATCTAAAGCAATACAAAAAGTGTACGTCTATGTCAAAGAAATGGAAAGGGGGATCAAGAAGCTACTATGCCAAGATCTTAACGTTTAAATTTTGAAATTTAAGATCATGTTGAAATGTACAATTACATTCAAGAGGGGGTCGTGGCCGGTTAGACACAACTGGTTGGGGGCTAATGTCGCCTCCCTGATGAGCCCATAGTAGGATTAAACCAGTTGGCATGTTTACCTGGGTAGGCTGGTCTCGTGGTTCTAAGGGGAACATCGAGACGCACGAGCAAGGAAGACTGTCGAATTTAAGTCTGTTACAAGTGGTATCAGATATGCGTTCGAGCAAATGGGACATACGTTAAGTTAGTTGTGCTCTTTCGTGGTATCCATAGAGGCGGACTAGAGGGGCAACCTACCTAGAGGGTACCTACCGAAGACTGCTCCACCTCCTCGCATAAGTCCAAGAGTAGATTGGGGGTAGCCACATGCCGAGGATCCTGACCCTATGTCTATGCGGGATCAGGGAGTGCGGTGCGTAACTGTACGTGATGCTGATCGAGATTGAAGGGGACAAGAGTTCTTCTCCTGTTGCACGAGGACGTGCTATAGTTTAGCAGTGGGAGAATGTCACAACCAAAAGTTGGCGTGACCATATTAACCAAAGAGAAAGAAGGTGATGTCGTTGGTTAGCTTGTCATTGAGATCTATGGGGCCCTATTAGTCTATGAGGGCATCATTAGTCTAGTCGTTTCCGTTTGGCTGAGTCAAATGCTAGAGGGCTAAACTGTGAAGGGGACCGTAGGGCTAGACACAACTGATCGAGGGCTAATGTCGCCTCCCTGATGAGTCGATGGCAGGGCAAAACCAGTTGACATGTGTACCTGGGTAGGCTAGAGTCATGGTTCTAGTGGGAACCTCGGGATGCCACACTAGCAAGGAAGAGTGTCGGATTTAATTCTATGACAGTAAGGTATCTTATAAGCTAGCTTCTTATTTGAGCTTATTGCAACGTAGTGTTTGGTGAGACCAATAAAGTAGTTTGTAAGATAGCTTTGTAAAAAGCAATATGATATAGCTTATAAATAAGTTCATACGGCTTTTTCTATAAGTTTTCCAAATATACCCTTATACCCTAATATATCTAAATGTCCTTTTATGTCATTTTACATTTGCCATCTTGGCTTAGAAGCTAGTTTTTACCAAATATTATTACTTTATCAACTACCAGCTAGCTTAGCTTTACAAGAAAAAATTAACTTTTCAACTAGTTTAAAACCATGAAACCGAGCCAACTCCATTGAATTTGAATTCATTACTTATTCCTCAACAACTTAATTTTGATGGAAAGAAAAAAAAAAAAGATGAATTAGAAAACAGATTTACGAAATGGTAATTTAGATAAAAAAAAAAAAAAAAAAAAGAAAATGCACTCATAAATCGAATGCACACGAAGGCAATGCTAAACATATAGAGAAACAAACCAACAAAGAGAAGCATAAGATGACTTTTTAACATGGTAATTAAGTTTTGTTACCTATTCGAAAACGAGTTCCAACACAACGTTCCTAATAGCTTCAAAGAGGGGTGTTCCTTTCAAGTTCTAGAGTGCATCAACGACAATGCTTACAAACTAGATTTTCTTGGTAAGTATATTGGTTTGATTTTCCATTCACAGTTTGAGTCATTTTGATGTGGATTTCGATTTGATGACAAATCACTTTCAAAAGAAAAGAAATGACGCATATAAGGCATGACTACAAAAGATCACATTTAAGATCCAAATAACGGTTGCAAGAGCATGAGCTAGAGCATTCAAGGAGACAATAAGCACATTGGATAAAAAAAAAAAAGTTTGGGCTTAGAGAATACGTGGAGACCCATTGAAGGTTATAAATGTCTTCCACAAGTTGGATCTTGATAGCTCAAATGAGGAATGATGCAGAGCGTTTTAAAAGACCATTTTATTTTATATATTTTATTCATTTAATATTTGTCTTTATCGTCTTAAAAGAAAAATACTTACGAGCTATACGGATTAAAATAGTTAGGGGATCGTGTCTAGGTTCATAGATTAAATGAGTAAGTTTCAATTCGTCAAAGTTAACTAAACTAAAGCTGTAATGAGAGGACGATTGAGAAGGAAATGAGAAGATAGGTGAGGTTAGAATTGAATGAGTTAGCTTATGCAGAAGACAAGGGTGTGATGGCTTAAAATCAGGGTAGTGGAGTAGTATTAGTAGTTTAGACATTAGATTTATTTCCATAGGTCGAGCATGGTACTAAGTTTTTACCATTTTACTATTGTCCCCCATTTACTTTCAACGTCTTCTGCTACTTGCTTCATTGTTTGTATATGCTTCCTTAGCATTGTGAGTTGACCTTTCATTACCGGAAGATCACTCACGCTCGTGTTTCTTTTTATGCTAGAGGTGATATGTGGAAATGGTTCGCCTCCCAACACCATTCCTCATTCTTATTCTTATGTGACCGGAGTATTGTTACTGTTATAGTTGTGTTAAAACTCTTTTAATTCTTTGTGAAATTTAGTATTATTATCAAGTTATACTATCTTGTGACATTCAAAACTTATCAACTATCACAACGGCCAATTTTCACCACAACATGATAGCAACCATTAGAATGATAATGGTAGGGTAATAAAAAAAAAAAAATAAAAAAAAAAAAAAAAAACATGACCAAATCCATACTTTTAGCATAAGACCACATAAACGGTTTCACATCATAAAGGAGAAACAACTCTAACCACAAAATCATAGAAACTTGCAGCACTTAACGAGGCCATGTCTCTTCTAATACATGTAAACCTCCGCCCTTGGTTAAAGCTCCTAAAAATATAAGCACATCAAGATTTCCCATACTTCTTAATATATCCCTGCAAGTAAGTAAAATATACCCAAATATCAAATTAAGCAGACAATGTCTTCCTTCCATTCTATAATTCACCTTAAAGAGAACACGCACCTCAACAAGTTTCACAAGTTTTGGTTGACACGAAGAAAGATAGAAATCGGTAGCACCTTCGGTGCTTGGAATATTCTCAAATGGTAATGTGCTAAGGACCTTGTCAACAACCTTCTTAACAACCACTTTATGAGCATCCTTGCTAAGTATACCCCCACGCCATGCTGGCTTCACAATCTCCTTAACAAATTCTATAAGAGCACCACGAAAATGTCTAAGTGCTTTTGACTCCCTTTGCATAACAACCTCATCCCCTTTCGCTTCACTAGTTTCTTTAACTTCCCTTTTTGTGGGCCCATCATTTGCTTCACTTGCTTCCATCATATCTCCATTATAAACATGGCTCATATGCATATGCATAGGCTCATTTCCTTTTTCTACGTTTACTTTATTTGAACTTGTATCTTTGTCATGACTAGCAACCGAATGTCTTTCAGAGGCATTATCATTATCATTACCAATATCAATGTCATGTGTTGTCACATTTAGAGGTGGATTGATGTTTTTAGGCGAATGTGTGGTTGAGGTTGAAGGGCCTTGACATGAAGAAGAAAATTTAGAAACCCCAACTCCATAATCCGGTTGATCGATGCTATCACGGATTGGATCATATAGAGTAGATGGAGAAAGACCTTGTGAGAGAAGAAACATTGACCTAAAAGGTTTTGAAGGCTCCCAATCATATTTATAAAACCTTGTTGAATGAGAATCACCAGATAAAACCTTATCCTGATTCTGATTCTGATTTTGATTCTGATACAAATGTTTTGTTTCAGAACCAGATTTGTAATCATTCATGGTTGGAAAGGAATCAGGATTATTCCAAGATGAGGAAGAGGAACTAAACAATAATGAATTACTAGTCCAAACAGAGCTATGGTTTAACGGGGGTATTTTCGTCATTTGAGCAGAAATCGAGGGGGTGTTTTGAGAATTACATTGCTTGTCCTCCTTTGACTCTTTTATATGAAGAAACCTACAAGACTTTCCTTTAATACACCAACCTTTAGCAAAAAACTCGCATACAAGAACTTGTCTTTTGTTTCCTTCTTTGGTTTTTTTCACAGGTGATGAACTTCTAGGCCTTCTCAAAGGCACATCCAATCTGGAAAATCAGGATATTAATACATATCAGGCTTCTAGGGTTCAGAAAATCTAAAGAAAGGAATTTAGTAATGTTTTAGAAAAAGTACCTAACTGGTTGTTTTTGGTGTTTATCATCCATATCTTCATCCTTTGTCCCCTTAGTTTCTTTCTCAGAAGAAGGTGGGAAATTACTATTACCTTCATTTATTTCTTTAGTTTCTTTCTCAGAAAGAGGGGATTGAATAACTTCATTTGACTCCTTAGATTCTTTTTCAGGAGGGAATTTATCATCATCATCATTGGGAACCTGAATCACAGATTTTCCACTCACTTTCACTACTTCAGCTGATACTGATACACCAACAGGATTGCTAGTATTGACAGAAGAAGTTGTAATTCCACCATGATCAGATTCAGAAGGTTCATTATCATTGTCAGTGTAAAGCATGCCACCATCATCTACAGTTGTTTTCCCTGCAAGGGTCCACAGCATGTCAGATTCCAAGTTCATACTTCATAATCCTAAGCAACCAATAGTCATAGTGTGAAAGACGTGAATACCCTTATCATCCTCAAAAACAGCCTTAGAACCCTTCAGAATGCCATTTAAAGTAACATATGATACACACAAAGAACTCCAACTGTGTATCCTTGCAAACTCAAGCAAAAGGGTAAAGAAGAGAACATACATGATACACCCTCTATCCAAAATTTTCCTTTGATGCTCTAAGGCACCTCCTTTTCCATTGAACAACAACTAGTTTGTAATTGTAACAGCATGTACTGTTGTTTCCATGGTTGTATGTTTGGTGATTTGAGTCATGAAATCAGTTCTATCCCTAATTCCCTACACTAACACTACCATAGTTTTTGTTTCTAAACCAACATTTTGTCTCTATCTTATAGGAAAGGAAACTAGTATAATCATTTCGGTTGTTCCATGAGAATAGAAACAACAAAATGATGATTTTTGTGTTAAAGAGTGTTTTTCAACGCTTTTAAGTCGAAGATATGGTTGAGTGGTCTTCCATGTTAAAGATAACTCCATTTTTGGAGAATAAAGGAGACTTTCCAAAGCATGTGAAAGTTGCTAGTTTCTTCTTGTTCTTTGAATTTCAAGTGTCTTGTCAAGATGGAGATGATTAAAATATCGGAGCTTTTTTGTAGTCATAGATATCTAAATGTAGAAGTAAATTTAGATTTATGTCTTATGACACGTGATTACCTTCAATAGTTGTCAAGATTCTTGATAGATGAGGACAGAAGATCAAGTGTGGCAATGTCATGCATAGTTTGCAACCCATAAAGGTTTTTAAGGGATGAAACCCATATTAGGCACGATATAAGCCCAACTAAGGAAGTAAATATCATAGAACTAGATGATGAAACCTAAAAGAAGATCCACATTGAATGGTAAAAGTAGGTATAAGAGGAGGAGCAAATATGAGGGGGAGAAAGATGACAATGTGCATTTATAAGGTAACAAATAAGGTGATTACAACAATCAAATGTAGACAATAGATAAAGACGCTTCATCGAACAAGAACGTTAAGTCATTAACTAGCCAAAGAGAGCAAAGAAAGTTGTAATTGAAGCTCATGGTAAAGCTCACAAGAAGTTTTACTTGAAAATTGGAAATTTGGTGAAGCTACAGGTTAGTTGATGAAGCTACAGGTTAGTTGATGAAGCTAAAGGGAAGGAAAACTAGAGATGATCATTGATCACATTAAATGCATCAGGGATAGAACTAAATCCTTTAGGCATATAAGGATCCCAAGAACCATTGACATTGTATCTGGAAATCGAGCAATTGAAACAGTGAAAGGAATGTAAGGGAACTTATGAGTATGAATATCTTCATTAAGCAAACAGAAAATTTTACACAGAAATGCAGAATCTGAGTGCATGGGTGATGGAATCAACAAGAAAGATAAAAGTATGTAATGTCTAGGGATACTAGTCTGCCTATGGTTATTTGGTTAGTCTGTAAATGTAGGTATGCCCTATAATATTATAAAATTGGTAATTTAATCCTCAAGACAATGAGGATGTTTGATGAATAAGGTATAGAACTTTGTCCGAATCTTCAAGTACAAGAGGATAAAGAACTAGATGCGCCCTCAGTCTTCGTCGATTGACAAAAGCGTAAAACCCTAGAATGAAGCGAATTGGGGAATTGCTTGCATGATCATATAAATTTAGAATTGAAATACGCCAATCTAAGCAGTACTGATAATAACAGAGAAACTAAATCATGGGCATAGCTCAAAACCTAGTTAAGATATCAAAATGGCAAAAGCAGTATTTTAACAATAGAATGATGCGCACCTTTCTCGTGATCTCCATCGTCGATTGGTGGCGATATATCTTCCCGCTTTTCTTCTACTTCTTCTTCCGGTTCTTCTTCTTCTTCTTCTTCTTCTTCTTCTTCTTCTTCTTCTTCTTCTTCTTCCTCTTCCTCTTCCTCTTCTTCGTCAATTTTGACAACAGAATGATGCGCACTTTTCTTTTGATCTTCACCGTCGATTATTGTCGGCAATATATCTTCTCCCTTTTCTTCTACTTCTTCCTCGTCTTCTTCTTCATTGACTTCTTCGTCGGAGACTTCTTCTTCTACTTCTACTTCTACCTCTTCTTCTACTTCTATTTCCTCGTACTCATATTCGTACTCGTACTCGTCGGAGTCGGAGGCAATTGGGGATTTACCAGCCGCCGCAGCGGAGGCGGAGGTGGTTGTAGGCATCAGTCGCGATTGAGATGGCAGTGAAATTTTGTTTGATTTGAGCGAGATCTCGCGAAAGCCTAGTCGTGTGAATCCTCGCCCCGCGGTAGAGTCGAAGTAATTATTTTTCTTGATAAACTTGTGTTTGTTTCAAAGAGGTTTTTTTCTTAATTAAGGTTTGAAACTTGTGTTTGTGTTTTTTTTTTAAGTAATAATCCGCATAAACTAGAGTATTAATAAAAGTAATTATTACTTTTTTTGAAATTTGCAATATAAACAATCATTTCTATTTCATACCTAGTCAATCCGAAGTTAGTGGTTGGTGGGATATGATATTAAGAAGAATCTAACACCGTACATTTCGGGCTGAAATTGTTCTAGAAAAATAAGATTGTATAATTAGTATTTTTAAAGTACTTGTTTGCGGTACAAGACAATGTGAGTAAATCGACGTATCTATGTAGTATATTGCTCCAAACTACACATAATATGATGTAGATTTATCGATGATATAAACTTTTATAGGTTCATTAGGTTAGTTGTTCGAAGTTCAAATTATATACTAATCAAATTTATGTCTTTTGAATATCCTAGATCAAACATAGTTATAGAGATTATTGACGATAATGATGTTAGATATTTCTCAATTTTGTTAGTAGTATGGATCCTAACGTAGTATGATTGTTTGTGTATTGATGATGTTTTGGAAAGTGGCAATCGATATATAGAGGAAAATCGTTCCAATGGCAATGAGTCTTCCAGTATTTAAAGTAACCAAATATATAATTTATTATATATGACAATGAATAAGGTTCCTTCTTACAATGGGCATGTATACAAGGGTGATGTTAGGTATAAATGTAAGGTTATTGTTGATGATGGTCCAACATTTAAGGGTGATACATCATCAATCGATTAGGTAAAATTGATGATGGTAATATACCTCCGCACAAAAACCAGTGAGAAAATTCTATTGTTTCTATAATATATGAGGATGATGAAATTGAATCTAAAGAAAAGGAAATTGAGCGCTGACAACCTTGTAGGGAAAAGTACCCTTAATATTTTCATACTATGAAGAAAAAAACTACTCATCGGAGGATGTCTGATTCGTTACTGTTTCTCGGGTTTTCAACTCAAAAAACATAAAGCTTATGTATCCTACAATCCCTTTTCACATGTGAAATTGTTATAACGGTTCAAAAAAGGAAAGAGAGAGAGAGAGAGAGAGAGAGAGAGAGAGCACTTAATCTACCTTTGGGATTGAAATGTGTTAACGATGGATTTCAAATTAAATTCAACAAATCTACAATAGGTTTGACGTAGTTTTCTTTGTGAAAAATGTAAATGGCAATTAAGGGCTATAAAAGTTAAGGTTATAAATACATTTCAGGTCCATAAATTATCTAAAAGTCACACTTGCTCAAATACATAGTTAAATACCCATCATCGGCAAGCCAACAAGAAAGTGTCGGGTCACCTCTTTAAGGACATACTAGATGATGTAACAAAAAATATGTTGTTGGAAAAAGTATCAAATGTCATTAACTAATTGGTAATATTTCTAATAATAGCAGGACCTTTTTTGAGTTGTTCTCGTGACTTAGTTAAGCAATAAGGAATTAGAAGAAAATAAGTTTGTTAATTTATTATGAATTAATAAATTAATTGGAAATTATTTTGGAATTAATTAAATAGATTTAATTAATTAAATTGGTTGAATATTAGTTAATTTATTAATAATCAATTAGAATATTTCAAAACCATCCAAAATAAAGATAAGGGACGATTTCAACTAAGAATATGGATTATTTTTAGAAATTTGAATTAAGTTGGAGACTACAAATAGGATGTTAGGGATGAAACCCTGACAATCCTTGCCTCATAAATTTCGTCCAAGCTCCCCTTCCTCTCCCTTTGGACGAAAATTATAACCCCTTTCTAGGGTTATAGATTTTTTTGTAAAAGTCTCCTCTCTCTTAGAGTTCATATTTGATAGTTGGTGTCTTAGGTGTAAAGCAAAAGAGGGATTCATGGTTTAGGTCCTTTTCATCCTTGCAAAGTGGTTGTGGCAAGATATAACCAATCAAGGGATCAAGAATATCAAGATGTTAGTATTTTTGCAAGGTCTAAAGTAGGTTTCTATAATAGTAAAATCTAGATCCATAGGATGCATATACACACAGGGTTTTTTTGTTTTCCGTTGCGCTAACTAATATGTATAAAATGCAATAAATTTCATTAGTGGTATCAGAGATTGTTTTAGTTATATGAATTGCTAATAAAAACGAAGAAAATATGAAACTTCAAAAGACACCATGTGCCTTATGTGTGACGCTCCCCTTCGAGAATTTGTTGGATTTTTTTGGATTTGGATAAACACATTAATTTAACATATTATTTAAATAAGATTTAAATTTGAATATTTAAATTAAATCAAATTTCAAATATTATTTAATAGAAAATTAAATTTAAATATTTAAGATAAATCTGAATTGATAAGCCTCTAAATTTTAAATATTATTTAGATAAGATTTAAATTTGAATATTTAATTTATAATTTTAAATATTATTTAAATTTGAATATTTAATTTGAAATTTTATATATTATTTAATAGAAAGTTACATTTGAATATTTAATAATCATTCAATTTGAAAGATTTAAATTTATTATATAATATGATTACTATATGTATGGGATATATTTATAATATGTGCCCTGTAACATCCCAAATTTTCAGAAAAAACTGCAACTTTTTAAAACAACACAATTTATTCATTAAACATTATTAATAGGATAAATTCAATATTCCAAACCCAAGATCAAATCCAATTTTAAAATCATGATTAATTAATATTCCAAAATATTTATGAAAACACTATTATTCAAGTTCCAAGAAAAACCTAGTTTCCCACCACAATCCAACGTGTACAATCATGCCTCGTAGGAGTATGTATGGGGAGGTTTGGGTTGGTTATTGGTTAAAACCGAACCATAATCATTATAATTGGTTAATGTATTTTGATAACCATTTGGTAGCGGTTAATATTGGTTTTGGCTAACAGCTTTAGTCGATTAATGGTTATATATGATTGGTGGTTAATATCGGTTAATCATAATGTTCCAAGATGACATAAAAATAAAAATACTTTTCAATAAAAATTGAAAAACATAAAGTCCATTGTTAAAAAAAGTGAATGACTATGTATATATAATTATATTATAGAAGATTACTTATCATATCTAATTCCAAATAATTATTCTTTAGATTTTCAATTCCTAATATAACTACATACCATATATTTAATATTATATTATATTAAAAACATTTATTAATATTATTGGTTCAGTTCAGTTTATAGTGGTTCGGTTTTAAATGAAAACCATAACCAAACCATATGTATTCGGTTAATCAAAATTTAAAATCGCACCATATCTTTTAGTAATATTTTAGTTATATTGGTTAATTTGGTTACAGTTTGGTTTTTCGGTTAATATGCTCACCCCTAATGTCTAACCATCATGTGTACATGTAACAATATTTTTAAGGGAAAAGGGGTAAGCACGAAGATTAGTGGATTCCAAACATACAGAGTATCATATCATATCAACTTTACCCCTATTCACAAATACAAACGGTATCAAACACATAACAAATGCATGCATGTCAAAGAACACATCAATAACAAACATACTCCTAATGAGACACCTTAGCTAAGGTCGATCCCCCTTGCTCAGTACATAGAGCCCTTAGGACACATTGGATAAGCCTAGTCCCCCATACCCGAACCCATTAGGACACTATTGGTCATGCCCAATCCCCCTTGCTCAGTTCGTCGAGCCTTTGGGACACATTGGCTACCCCTAATCCCCATTCGGGTGCGTCAAGTACTATCATGCATAGTCCTCAATACATGAGGCAAACCACTAGACTTTACCTCGCCTAGTATTACCTTCAAAAACAATTCAATACTAGGAATGACAATGGGACGGGTTCGAGGCGGGGCATGGTTTCCCGAACCCGCCCCGATGGTATCTTATCAGGGCTCCCCATCGGGTTTCGGGTTTTCCCATCAGGTTTCGGGTATCTTATCAGGTTTACAACAATTCATAACAAAATCTTTATTTCGTTTTAGGGTACCCCAATGTATTATAAAAAAATAAATGTTCTAGCTTCCCTTTTATATTAAAAATATAATGCATCACTTTAATAAAATAAACTAGAACATGCGTGTAATTACCATCAAAATGATTATTCACACCAGATTCTTAATAACTAAAAAGATCGTCCACAATAACTATTTTATCTTTTAATGCGTGCAATTAACATCAAAATGATTCGAACATATTATATATATATATATATATATATATATATATATATATATATATATATATATATATATATGGGTTTAGGTCATTTTTGATCGCTTAACTTTTGGTTTTATGCTCATTTGGTCACTTAACTATTTTTAAGTTTTAAAAGGTCATCAAACTTTTGACTTTGTGCTCATTTAGTCACTTAACTTTTGTTTTGGTCACTTAACTTTTAGATTGATGCTTATTTAGTCTCCTAACTTTTAAAATTGTGCTCATTTATTTACTAAACTTTTGAAAAAATTTAAAAGTTTAGTGACCAAATGAGCACAATTTTAAAAGTTAGGTGACTAAATGTGACCAAGCCAAAAGTTAAGTGACTAAATGAGCACAAAACCAAAAGTTTGATGACCTTCTAAAACTTAAAAAGAGTTATGTGACCTAATGAGCACAAAACCAAAAATTAAGTGACAAAGAATGACCTAAACCCTATATATATATATATATATATATATATATATATATATATATATATATATATATATATATATAGTTTATAACTCGTGGAAACGGGTAAGAAAGAAAAATAATATTGATAATTAATAATGGCAATACAAACTCAAAAACTTATAAAATTTATCCTTATTTTTACACGAACATACATGTTTAAATTGCATAATTTATTTTTACATGAAGATGATACCCACAATTAATGGCGTAGCAAAACAAAAAACAAAATAAACCTAAACAATGAAGCAGTTAACACATGAATTAGAAAATATAAATGGTGCATTATAAAACAACTTGTTGGGTCTTATAATTTGTTTAACAT